CCTGGGTCCCCAGCCCTTTGGAGCTAACTGATTAGGGCTAAGCTAGAAATAGTTTCGGAGGTGGGGGTTGCTGTCTTTAATGGCTCCAGGGCCAGGCAGGTGAAATGAATGTGACTCATCTGGGTGGGGACAGGAGAGCAGGCTAGCATGCAGGCACCCAGCAGTGTCCCTATGCAAATTCCTTCCAAGCCAAGCTTGCCTGCAGGGGCCCTTGGGGGCTCCTGTATGAAGGTCACTGGCTAGACTGGCTGAGGAGGGCCAGTGCACTTTGGGCGGTGAACACAATGGGACACCAGCTTGGCCAGCCAGGTACGTTATCAGTCGGTCTTGGGGCTCTACCTCCCCAATAGCAGCTAGAGGCAGCGGATGTGAAAGGAGACCCCAAGTGCAGCCGGTTCAGAAACAGTGAGGATGGGCAGTAGGGAGCTGTCCGGCTCCGGAAGGATGAGAGCCCAGAAGGTGAGATGCATTGCCTTCCACTCCAAGGCCTCCTCAGACCATTTTGACTCCAAGCCCCTCTCCCTGATTCACTTGGAACCCCAAGTTCCAGGGTCTGGCTTTTGGACTCGGTGGTAACATAGGAGAGGCTGAACCTTTCCCTTTGCTGGTCTTCAGTGGGTTTGGACCTTCAGTTTCGTAAGACAGCTATTTCAGCGATAAGCCTTCATCTGGTCCTACCCGCCTTGTAAGGTAGACAGAATAGTGAACACGCTTGCAGTCAGGCCTACTGCCTTCGATGTACACAGCAGGCGCTCCCTCGGAGTAAGCCCTGCGACCAGAACCAGGTGGGCACTAGACTTCCTCACTCACTTCTCACCAAGCCGGTTCTGCCTGAGAACTGGGTCAGGCAAAGCAGCCATTTGAGGGAAATTCACATTCACCCAGCTCCTGCCCCGGAGGTTGTTCCGCCTCTCCCCACACACTGGGCAGAATCCAGACTGGTCAGGTCCATTTTTCAGATGTGAAGATAAAGGTGGCTTGCTCACGGCTGGGAAAAGTCTCACCCAGTGTAGAAGACGGATGGATGAGGCCCAGCCTACAAGCTCACCACATCCAGGGGAACGTGAGTCTCGAACTTTCCTGAGGAAGAAGGCAATCCAGCCGGGTTTACGACCAGGGATCAGTACCACCC